GCGCCCCCCCCCCCTTCCCATTTAACGCTCTGACGAACGATTGGTGGGTGCTACTGGTAGGTCCTTCTGTTCATTTTCTCTGATGTTTCTGTCTGTCCTGTTTGCTTTCTTTAAGATCTAAATTACTTAAGGAAATATTATACGACATGCACTACTTACAAACATTTTGTAAAATCTCCCATCATATTCAATTTTTTCCTTTGTCACACAGAAGCCGCCCCCCCCCCTCCCTTTTTTACCCCTTTTGCCGCTTTGACGAACAGTTCGTGGGTGTTACTGGTTGGTCCTTCTCCATTTTTCTGTCTCTTTAGCCTCTTCTTTTCATTTTCTCCGATGTTTTTAAATATCTCTTTGCTTTTTACAATCACTAAATTACCGTTTATCTTGCTTAAAGTAATATTATAATGATGATTTAAAAACGCTTTTAAAAAATATCCCATCCAATTCAAATTGTACCTTGTTTCGTATCTCAAAGAAATCACACAGAGACATGAGAACTTACCCAGCGACCTCCACAGTTGAGTTGGTTGTCCATATAGTTCTCCGGTACCGGGAAGCCATCTCGCCACATAGTTGATCTCCCAGGGGGTTGCCGGAGCCTGCCGTGGCCTAGGACCACCGCCAAGACTTGTAGGAGAACGAGGGCAGACAGGGAGATGCGAGCCATGGTGGGTGTGCTCATGTTGGTCTGAGAGGGAAATGAGTCTTTTGCCTTGGAAGAAACGCAATTGTTTGTTTGATTCAGTAAGAGGTTTACGGCACTTGCTTCACAAATAAGACATGGCATACAAGAGCTGAAGATTAGGGTGTTATTAAGGAGTAGTATACAGAGGAAGCATAGGAGAGAAAAGGGTGATAGATGTTTGATAGGAAAGAAGGAGTAAACCACAACAAGGGACCTGCTAACCACACACGAAAAAATGTAGTAGCCAAAAAAAGACGACACCAACGTAAGCTATGAATAGTTTCTTCTTTTCTGAAAATGTACACTGCAAAATAATGTTCTTACAAAAGACCCTATTATTATTAGACTATGTAATATTTGGTTTTGTGTTTGTGGGTATTAAAGTTTGTTATTCTTTTTACATCACATTACTGAAAGTGTTTTTGTCTTTCAGAAAAAATCTACCCAGGTTGTCGGTCAATATGATATGTACATTCAACAGACCGTCCGTCTATGTTTGCCGTTGTCTAATACATCTGTAGAAGAGAATGCTTTCCATGCAAAACTGAAACATATGATAAAGTTAAAGATGGCTGGCTTGCTGCTCCTATTATGGCCTATGAGACCACATGTGACAGTAAAAAATGTTTGCCACATTTTGAGCATGTAAAAGCTTTTTTTCCACTTGCTGGCTTCTCTTCGGATTCAGCAATTCACATTTGTTATGCCTAATACGACTTGCTGTCCACAGTGACCACTACTCTCCAACTGGGTCTGCCAGTAGCATGCCTCTCACAGGAGCTAGGCTCCACCATATCAATAGATGTATGTTGAAGTCCCTCTGATACTTCTCCAGGATGTCCTTGCAGGGTGTCCTTTTAGTGCGTCCTCTTTCCGATTCCCCGACAGAAGGTTGTCTCTTGTTGATCTTAATTTTCGAAAACTTAGACAGGATGAAGGAATATTAAAACCTGAACATTATCTATTAACTGTTTAATGGTACAAAATATGAAACAAGTGGTCGCAGGTATAAGTATGTGTAAGCACGTGTGTACATTTGCATGTGTATATTATGTGTGTGTGTGTGGTTGGGGGGGGGTTCTGTGTGTTACTGTGTGTGTCTGTGTGTGTGTGTGTCTGTGTGTGTCTGTGTGTGTCTGTGTGTGTCTGTGTGTGTCTGTGTGTGTGTCTGTTTGTGTAGGTATA